AGTTCAGAAGAGCAGGAGAAGACATGTTTGTCTGGCAGCTTCATTGTATAGGGTGTGTATCTGTTTGTTTGTGTGTGTGTGTGTGTGTGTGTGTGTGTGTGTGCTGAAGACACATCCCCTTCCCTAAGAAATATGCTTTAGAACCCACCATGTTCTTCTGATTGTATATTGTTCTGGAAAAAAAAAATCAATTATCATAGTGTTGAAACCCAACCTGGGACCTTATAGTAAATAGTGGGCAAGTATTCAAAAAAAGTAACACTAATAATAAAATTCATTGGCCTTCGCAGTTTAGAAAAAATATGTTTAAAATATTATTTAAATATAACCTTTTTGTGAAGATATTTGTGACACACACACACACACACACACACACACACAACACTGCAGTTAATAAAACAGAGGGCTGTGTCTAATACTAATTTTGCTCAGTATAAACCCATTGAAATTAATGAACATAACTTATTTAAAGTCCATTAAATTCAATGCTTCTACTCTGAGAAAAAAAACAGTTACACCCCCCCCCCACACACACAGAGCACAGGGCAGATAGCATGCACAGCTTTGTCATCTAACACATCGGCATCATTCCCTGCCCTCTTTGGGCACCACATATTATCAGTATCTGTGCACAATCAGGTCAAAAGTCTAACTAAACCAGCATCCTCTTCTCACAGTAGTGGCCAGCCAGATGCCTCTGGGAAGCCTGCACATTCCTGTTGTGAAGTAATTCCCAATTTGTGTCTGGCGCACCTTATCTCTGTTGAAGAAGAAGAAGAAGAAGAAGAAGAAGAAGAAGAAACAACCTTCTCTAGATACTGTTGTCAAATGTCTAGTGTCCATGGAGTCGAATACAACATATCCATTACGAAATTTAGTCATTAGTTTTAAAAATGATGAAAGATGTCCAATGTGGAAATAATGCCGGAAGTGTTTTGATACCCTCTGTGCTAAGGAGTGAATGAATATATTATTCTTTTCAGTATAATGCTCGTAGGCCGTTCAAATAAGTATAAATGCGAGTGGGGAGAAAGAAAGTAATTTCTCTGACAAGCTTTGATATATTCACCTCAACCTCGCTTTGTGCTTGCTTTATTTATTACACACTGATATAAATGTAAGTGTCAGAGAAATACAGCAAAGAAAATTTAAGCTAATACACACTTAGCTTTTGCATTGAAAAACAGAATTTCTCAGTCAATTCATATTCCCCTTCCGAAAAAGACTTGGCAACCAGGGAGCTGATGACATCTGCAAATTATTCTATACACTTGCTGTCAAGAGCTTCTTATTGTTGGAATATAAGTGATCTCAGGGCCAGTTCATGCAATACATCTTTTTCACCATATCAGCAGTTACAGGCTTCCCTGAATATGGTGTTTCTTTTAGAGGAATACGCGCACACACACGGTTTTAGTTAGCCACAGTATAATTTTCAAAATTACCACGACAATTTTAACAGGAAACACTGTTGCGTGGCAAGTCCCCTCCCCCATGTGAAATGAAGACACAGGACACATTATTTAAGGTTAATGGGCATAAAAAGGCCACAACTTTATTGATTACAGAATTGAAAGGTATTGGCCTTAGGCATTGGCTCCTATCGACTACCCAGCATGCGGACCGGGAAGGGTTATCCACAAGCCGTGGGGGTCCTGTTGAAGTACACCAACTAGGATCCCACGGGTGTCACCGCTCGGGGGCGTGCCAGAGGCCCTTACCTCCCTAAGTTTCGGACAAGGCAACGCCCCCCGGAGTCCTTTACCGGACTACCCTTTCCATTGGGGGATGGTGATGGCGCTTCCTTCCCCCCTTCATTTGCATAACAATTTACCCCTGCCAATGCCTAACCGCCACTCGAGCAAAGCTCGCCACCAATACCTTCAAACCTGTAACCAAATCCTAATCCCTGCTATGATGTCCCCCAACCAAATATCGTTTCCAGCATCTGACAGATGCATGCCATCCCATCTGTAGAGGGCCTCGTTGCTGTACTGGATGCCTGGGTGGCCTATGACGCACCCGCCCAGAGCCGCCACTCTACGTGCCACAGCCCGCTCCAAGACCTTTCTTGCTTTATTTATTCCAACCAGGCTCAGACAATCCCTCCATGTCCTCCTCTCGAGCAACGAGGACCACAAGATAGTAATGTTTGGGTAAACCGCCATCAGATCAGCGAAATCGTCAAAAATGTTCCATCTCAAGTCAACAGCTTTGCAGTACACTAGATCGTTTCCCCCCAACTAGATAACCAGGGCATCAGGTGGGCCCTCAGAGGCAGCTCTCGCCATCACGGCTGGTTTGAATTCGCTCCAGCGCATCCCTCTTCGCGCTATCCATGCCACCTCAACATTTGCCAGTAAGTTCAAGTTTTGCCCCAACCCGGTACTCATGGCTCGATTCTTGGCCCAATGCACAATGCTGTGGCCCACCAACCAGATGCACACCCTCACGTATTCTGAAAAGCAAATAGATAGAAAAACCCAGGTCAGGAGCACCACAAGTCATAGATTCTTTCTCACATAAGCTTTGTATGCATTAGATTTCCACTGTCCCAAATCCTTTATCCTCTCTGTGGAGAGCCCAAGGTGTACTGCAGTGGTAGCTGCCCCAATCCTAAAGGAGTGAGCCGCAAATTCGGCCGCGGGTAGTCCGCATGCTGCCAAGGCCATGCGCATCCCCTGCGTAAACTGGTGTCTGGCCAAGAGCGATCCATCCGCGTGAATTAAAAAAGGGCTGGGGCTATTGGGTCTTAAGTAGAGGAAACGCCTCGTATCCCTAACCGGGCAGGGACCGCTACCTTGTGCGGCTGGTAACCGAATGAGGGCCCCCCTGCCCTGTTGGTCCGTCTTAGAGCTCCGCACTTGAACGATTAGGTCGGTCCTTGATAGGGTCAGATCACTTAAGAGGATGCCCCTCTGGCAGTGGGCAACCCCTCCCTCACAAACTACCTCCCTTATGCGCAGGGCACCAAAGAAGGCTATGGAATAAGCGGCAGAGAATAGGCACGCTTCATATTTTGACCAGCATATTGCACATAATTTTTTGTGTATCTGAGTCAGAATATCCTAAGTTATGGGCCTCCTCTTGTCAGAGCTGGGAGGCTGGAGCCGGCGCCAACCCTCTAAAGTCTTACGCACTATAAATTCAGCGCACGGGTCGGTGGCAAAAAAGGCTTTACAAAAATATGAGATCCCTGCGGACTGAATATTGAGAGTCTTTGGTGCCCTGCCCAGCTCCTTCAGGTGGGCTAAGTAGCGGAGGACCTCCCTCGTTGAGGGAATGGAATTCTGTCTCGTGCTGGGTATTCTATTGCGGAACTTTAGGAAGTCGGCCCACGCTTTCTTGTATGATCTCATTGTGGAAGGGGCAACTGCACCGAATACTCCCTTCATCACTTCTTCCTCCCAAGATTCCAGAGATGCTCCGGGAAAGGCATCGATGATTGTTCCACCTCCAGTGCTAATGAGCGGAAGCGCTCCATCTGAAAGCGAGACAGAGCATCCGCAATGTCATTATTGACGCCAGGTACAAATTTGGCTGAAAAATATATATTCTGCTCAAGACACAGGAGGACGAAGGACCGTAACAAGCTTCCCACCCTGGTGGAGCGCGCGGGCTGTCTAGAAAGAACCGCTACAACTGCCTGGTTATCTGTGTTGAAACAAACCCTATGATTGCGGAACTTCTCCACCCAAAGATGTACTGCCACTACAATAGGGAAAAATTCCAAGAATGTAAGGTCCCGAGTAATGGGCTGGCCCTGCCAGTCTGCAGGCCACCTCTGGGCACACCACTGGCCCCTGAAATAAACTCCAAAACCCAAGGAGCCTGCCGCATCTGATTGGACTTGGAAGTCAGCATTGAGTGCCATGGAATCTTGCCATAAGGATATACCATTGTACTTGTCGAGGAATTGTAGCCAGACTCCCAGATCCGCCTTAACTTCTTTGGAGAGGCGCACCCTATGCTGTGGTGCCCTGAGACCTGCTGACAATCTGGCCAGGCGGCCGCAAAAGGGCCAACTCAGTGCCACTACCTTTCAAACGAAATTTAGGTGACCTAGCAGAGATTGAATTTGCCTTAGGGTAACCTTCTTTAGTGGCAATAGCTGCTGTATCAGTGCCTTAAGGGCGAACAGTTTTTCTTCGGGCAACCTAAACGTTTGGGCCACGGTGTCCAACTCAATGCCCAGATAGACCATGGAAGTGGCTGGACCCTCCGTTTTGTTGGCGGCCAGTGGCACCCCCAGCTCCCCAGCCAGGGCTATGAAAGCCTCCAAGAGGGCGGAGCATCATTGCCTGTTATCTGCCACCAAAATAAAATCATCCAGGTAATGCGACACACCCAATGACCCTGTCCTGAAGCGTAGGGCCCAATCAAGAAACGTACTGAACGACTCAAAGGCTGAGCAAGCCACAGAGCAGCCCATAGGCATTGCTTTGTCAATGAAATACGCCCCCTCAAATCTAAAGCCCAACCAACGGAAGTCAGCTGGATGGACGGGAAGAAGGCGGAACGCCGACTCAATGTCACATTTGGCTAAAAGTGCCCCTTGCCCAAATCTGAGAATCATTTTAACTGCCTGGTCAAAGAAGGCATATTTCACTGTACAAAGTTCCTGGGGGATCGCGTCATTGACCAAGCCTCCCCTTGGGTAAGAGAGGTTGTGGATCATGCGAAATTCCCCTGGGGCCTTTTTAGGTAGAATGCCCAGAGGGGATAGGTGAAGTCCTTCCAGGGGAGGTTCGGAAAAGGGGCCTGCTACCCTACCTGCCCTGATTTCTTTCTTTATCTTTTTCCTGACTATCTCTGGCCTTTCCCTAGCTGATTTTTGATTTTGTGGCTCCCCGGTGTTAGGGGGGAAAGCCACGGGGATTCTGAACCCCATAGAGAACCCCTCCCAAAGGTATTGTGCGGCTTTTCGATCGGGATATTGATCTAGCAGGGTTTTGAGGGGCTGAAGCTGGATAGGCGAGAATGCAAGACCAAGATACCTATTACTGACGGTTACTGGGACCCTGATGAGAGGATCCGGGCGTTGTTGTTGAAGTACCCCCTGCCCCCCGAAAGGGCTGCTGCTTATTCTTAAAGCACGCCGAGGCAGGGTGATTTCCCTGGCACCGCTCGCATTCGTGAAGATACTTACAGGCGGGACGCGTACATACACCTCTGTTGTATTCCCAACACTGGCTGCGTCGTTTTGCCTCTGTCTTACCCGCCTTAGCCGATTCCTGGCTCTTCTTTTCGATATAAGGGCCAACGTCCTCACCCCAGTAATTAGGATCCCTTAGGTCCCATCGGGTGGACGGCAGGAGAGAAGCACTTCTACGGAAATTCTCATCATATGTTAAAGCAGCATTTTCCCCTGCAAGTGTGTGAGCCCGCCTCACATGAGCCAGATAAGCAACCAGATCCATGGAGCACCGAGGATAAGCCACACAAACAACTCCCATGAAAACCTGGTACCCATCCAACCAATTCTCAAAGGTGTGCTCCGCCCTAGGCGTTCTATACCTCCGCTTACCAAAAGAGCGCCTCTTTTCACCTTTCCCCATTAGTTTAGTAGGAGGGAGAAGGGTAAACATGTCCACGTAGTCACCGTTGAGGATCTTATTCCTCTTCTTCTGTGACAAATGGTTCCCCAATATAAAATCGGTGGACTGATTGGTGGAAACCTTTACATCTTCGACCAACGCCCCGTCCTTCCATTCCAGTGTTCCATTGAAGGTCTTACGATGGGAATTGGCCCTCCTTTTGTGCACCCAAAGAGGGATCCCATGATTCTCTTCCCCAAAACCCCAGTAACCATCCATAGGCCCCTCGCTATCCGATTCGGATGAGGACGTACCTGATTCATCCTCGGTCTCTGACTGCTTGCTCCTTTTCTTCTTTGCCGACGTGTGCATCTTCTTGGATTTCCTCTTACCCCCTTGCGCCTCACTGCTGGGCGGGTTCACGCTGGCCGGGCCATTTGGGGTTCCATCCGCTCTTCCTCCGACCCGGAACCCGCACTGTCTTCAGTAGAGCTGTGCTGAGGCCGCTGTTCCTGAAAAGCACTAGGAATACCTACAACCTGTGAGATGGAATTGTTGCTGGCCCCTTTAGCGGGCACCTTCCCTTTGCTGGGACCCTTTGCAGGTGCCTTACCTTTACCAGGGCCTTGGATTGCTTGCTTAGAAATAGCTGACTGGGCGCGGGTATTAGGGCGGCCCACTGTTGTGGTTTCAGACTGGGCGCTGACCATTGCTGCGGCTGCGGTGCCCTGCTGCCCCTGATTACTAGGAGGAGTATCGGGTATTACCACCTGTGATGGTTCCGGGGCTGGGAGTGCAAGAGCCCCTGGCCTACACTGTCTATAAAATGTTTCGAAGGCCATGAAAAATTGAGCAAAGGCTCGGGGGTCACAGGGCATGGATGGTAATTGGGCGTCCCCACTACCTGTGGAAGATGCAAGCTGATTACCCGAGGAGGATGCCTGCTGGTCACCGCCAGAAGCCATTCCTTACTATGAACTACACCAAGGAAATCTCCAAGTTATTCGCAAAGTACTAGCTCAGTATTGCCCACAATGGTGAAAATGCGCAAGCACTAGCACCTGCTCTGGATCAGCAACAAAGCTTAAAAGTTGCACCCAGTTCAGTATTATCAACGCTGGCTTAGCTCAACTTAAATCTAGAAAGGGGAAAGAGGGCGGTCCACGGGTGTGCCTGGCCTTAAATAGGCTAGGCCACGTCTCCCCTGCCCGCCGATTGGCGGGCAGGGTCGAAGGCACGCCTGGGGATTCCCTGTTCTCGTGGGGGCAAAAGGCCAGCCCCCGCGTGTGTGGGAGGGGGTAGCCCGCAACCCCCTCTCCTCCCTAGCTCGGAAATGGCTTTATATTATTTGCTCTTGACTGTATCCAGTATCTGCTAGTTCACACATATTTATATACACTTGCTTGAGAAGAGAAAAATAATAATTTGTGTAAATCTGTATCACTTGAACTGAACAAGACTTTTTTCAGGCGTGTGTATGTTCTCTTGGGCTCTTTGCATATGTACCAGAGAACACAAGACAAGCCCTGCTGCACAGAACAAAATCCCATCTAGTCCAGCATCCAGTTTTCACAGTGGCCAACCATATGCCTCTGGGAAGTAGGACATGAGTGCAGCAGAACTCTCTCCACTTATGATTCCAAACATAGATAGCCATCAGGATTAGTAACTATTGGCAGTCCTATCTTCCATGACATGTCTAAGTCTCTCTTTAAAGCTATCCAAGTTGGTGGTCATCACCACATCTTATGAGCATGAATTCCATGGTTTAACTATGCACTGTTTGAAGACATACTTTCTTTTCCCTGTCTTGCATCTTCCAAAATTCAGCTTCATTGGATCCCCCCAAATTCTAGAATTATGAGGTGGGGGGGTGGACCTCTCCCTATACATTTTATCCATCCCATGGACCTCTATCATGCCCTACCCTCATTTGATTTTTTAAAAAAGAAACTAAAAGCCCCAAACGTAATAATGCGTATGTTGACCCAGTTCCTTCATAATTTTGGTTTCGCTTTACTAAACCTTTTCCTTTTTAGTGTAATGAAAACAGAAGAGAACAAAGCATTCCAAGGGTGGTCACAATATAGATTTGTCTTATCCTATGATTATATTTTGAATGCTTTTCATACATGTTTTAACTGTTTTTATTGATAGTCATCATGTTTCATGTTTTACTTTTTTAAAAAAGGGTTTAATTATAATCAAGCTGTATATAATAAATACAACTCTGAATATAATGAATAAAAATAAAAATAACTCTCAAATTATCCAGTGGGTTCTTCTTAAGAACTCTGCAGTGAACTCATTTATTTCTGTTAACCTCAAGTGAATAATAAGTGTACATGTGCTGTATTGTTGTGACACCCTGCCCCCCCCATCACATATACTGGACATAATGACTATCTTCTACATCCAAAGTTAGAGGCTGGATGCATGTGAGATACAATCATTCCTTACAATGCACAAGTGGGGAGAGTTCTCTTGCATTCAGGTCCTGCATGAAGGCTTCCTATAAGCATCTGGTCGCCCACTCTGAAAACAGGATATTGCTCTAGCTGAGCATTTTGCATGATCCAGCAAGGCTTCTTCCTATGTTCATATATTTGGAGAAGGCAGTTAACAAAACCTAAAGAAATGGGAAAGCCTGTGAGTCACCATCAGTCTCTCTTCCTGAAAAATTAGAATGGCCTCTTCTGCAGCAAAATGAAACATCTCGCTGAAGGCCAAACACTGTTCTGAAAACACAGACCATTTTCTGTCTCTGCTATCCAGGGAAAAATATGATACAGGAGTATTGTGCAATAAGTTAGAAATAAACTCTACAGAAATATATCAGGTATTTTTTCATTTTTTTTAAAGAATACTATATGGATAAAGTGGCTAACATTGCTCCCTCGTACTCTTTGAAACATTGTTCATGGCTTCAGTAAATCACAGGAGAATGGATTTTCTCATTATGCACCTGTTTCAAACCCACTGCATTTTCTAGAAAGAATTCCACTGTGTTGGGTCACTCTAGTACTGAAAGCTATATATATGTTTGGCATTCTTAGGTCCTGGCATTTTCTCAGAATAGTGTTTGGAATTAACCAAGTTATTTCCTGAGTTTGTGGGGAGTGGAAGGTGGGGAGTACATTTAGTTTTGCAAGACTGAAAGGAAATTTGCCCATCAATGATCAAAAAACCAACATGCAAAGCAATGTTGAACTAATATTCATGGTCAGCTCTTGAATATGGAGTAGGAAAGGGACATATTGTCCTTGGCCACCTTGGGCAGCAACATGTTTTAAAACAACCCTGGAAGGAAACTGAACTACAAGTCACCTCCTAGTGGTGCGGCAATAAAACTGCTAGCATCTTTGCAAAGCTAAGCAGGGTCAGGTATGGCAATTTCAAACTGGATGGAGGACCAATATGTGAACCAAAACACAGCTGTCCTTCTAAATTTGCACTAGTTTTGTGATGCTGTTCTCCAACCGAACAATATGTACCAACATGCATATATTAGGAGAAAATATGTATACAAGCACATACTTTAGTGAACATAGCATACAGAATTATATTATATCAAGGATATATTGGGGGAAATTATTTGCAAGTGATTAGTCAAAACAACATGCAAAACTTATTTATTAGTTTATTAGTAAATCCCTGAGCTCCAGGTGCCTCATAGCCTAGTCCTGCATGGCATGCATACAGCATGGGCCTGGCCCACAATGCCTGCATACATAACACATTTCAAGGTTTCAATGGGAGGCAGTGGCGGGATCAACTCCCAAATAATCTTATACATACTTACCTTGGGAAGTGAGCAAACAAATCTTATGCTCAGGAGCATCAGATATAATGCCACTGGAGAGGCCAGTAGTTGAGCCTGGGACTTCTCACCTGCAAATAGCTTTTTACCCTCCCATAACTCATTTTTAAGGAGAAAAAATTCAGATGAGAACTTCAAAATAAGCAGATTAACAGGGGTGACAGATGTCACAGCCAGATCGCCCTCACATCCAACAGGGGATCTTAATATTAAGTCTTCCATGCCACACACAGTTTTGATTGCTAAAACCCCATTGTCCCCAGAACAAGTTAGATGTACTTAAAGTCACATGGGAATCAACTGGAGAAGTTAAGCATGACTCACATAGATTGCATAAATTTCAAGGAAACTTAAGTGAGGCTTTCTCAAGATTTGGGCCATAGGCTTCAGTGGGATCCCTTAAACAGCAGTATTGCACAGGGTTGTGGACTTTCTGCCTAAGAGATTTGCATCTTTTCAGTCTGTATTTTATGATTTCTTTAAATAGCATGGTACTCTATTTACTCAAATTCTTTTTCCCAAGTAAAATTTCAGATTCATTAAAGCTGCAGTTCTTTTTGCAATGTAATGTAAAGTTAGTTGATACACTCTTTCATTTTACTGGTGATAAAAGGGGTAATTGGCCCATAAAAATGGAGAACTGAGAAATAAAAGCAGAAGAGAATGAGGCCTCTGTAGATCACGATGTTTTGCTTTTACTTTCTAGTACAATGGGGCGTTGGCTAGGTTAAGAGTCTAGTTTTGCAACTGAAATGGTCAAGTTAATGATTTGGCTCCTTTCATCCCTTGACCATTGGCCACACTGGCTGGGGCTGATGGGAGCTAGAATCTTAACAACATCTGGAGTGACATAAGTCCCCCATCCCTATCCTATGGGATCCTTCCACATTCAACTGCTGCATTAACTGTATCAAGCTAATATCAGCTGGTATGTACACCATGGCTATATGTGTTACAAATGATAAAAGGTGCTCTCAAATTTCACTGCTCTTGTGCAATCTTGTTCCAGCATTTCCATGACCTTTCACAGCCCTTCAGATGTTGTTGGACTCCAATTTCCATCATCCCCAGTCAGTCTGAGTGATGGTTAGAGATGAGGGAGCTGTAGCCCCCAGCAACATCCAAAGGGCCTCAGGTTCCCTATCCCTGTGTAGTACCATAATGAATTCCCCTCCCCATATTGGAATCAGAAACTGTTCTCCTGGAGGAAGAGAGGGATTTGGACTGTGCTTGTATGCAAGGTCTGGTTCTAGTCTCTCTCCCTCCACTACCACAGAAGGATTCAGAGCAGGATGTCTGTAAGATTTTGCACAACAAAGGCTGAAAAAACATTGCATAATGGCAGGCTCAGAAAATGATGAGGCTGATCTCCGTGATGACAAATGGCAAAAAACCCAAAAAAACTAAACAAAGCATACAGATGGTTCAGATGATGGATTGTTAACATCAACCAAATTAAATATATAAGAAATAACAAAATTGGGGCGGTGGGGTGGGAGGGGGGAGTGGAAGCCAGCCAAATTCAAATGGATTTCATTCTTTCAGGTGGCAA